GGGGGTAGGAAGAAAGGAATAAAGGCACAAAACAGAAGAATGGAAATAAAGACAACAACGGTTGGACCAACTGGAAAGAGAACTGATGAGATGACATTTTACTTCAACACTGGAAAGTCACAATAAGATAAAATTTAATATAATTCAGAGTGGAAAGGAAGAGCACATTTGCATTTTAGGAAAGGTGAATGGGATTTGGTCATGCAACCTAAATATACATAGTTGCCCAGATATATCCATACCAATATTCAGAGAGGTTTGCCACCAACATCCCCACTCAAAGGCTTATTAAGCCCATGGAACCACTGATTTTTAGTTTTGTGTCTTAAGATCATTAATAATATTAAAGGTGGCAAAATCCTGTGAGCTCCCCAACTCCAGTGAGTGAGCATTTTCATTCAATGAAGGAGGGGGAGAAAAGACAGAGGAGATTTCTCCTGATCACCATTAGTGGCCAGATATACTCTAGTGGCATAGAATGCCACTTAGCACCAGCCTGTGGCAGATATTTTAACAAATACAAATGCATTTTGCATAAGAAAGCATGCAGACCCTTAAAGACCCAACTCCCAATCCAATACCCATCACAGAAATGCAAATCTTAGATGTGAAAAGGACACCTCGGCATTTTACTTTGGCTGCAGTGTGGCACTCACTTTCATGCTACGCCTTCTTATTAATGAGGCTGGTTCATATATGGGAGCCACTAGGAGAAGCTTACTAAAATATGACTTTTCCTGGGACAATAAAAATCATAAGATGCCTACAAAAAGGAATGTAGAAAGACTTGATATTATAGATATGACTAAAGGCAAGGAAGGATAATATTTAAAAGAAATAATATATGATACTGATGATGAGAGGCATAGAGGGCATTTAGGAGAAGCTGAGTTTCCACTTGGTTTTGTACAATCAATCTTGGTTACCTCAACAAAAATCAGATCACTACTGTGTCTCCAGCAGGTTTCGTTCACGTTTTGACCTTTATTGTGTCATGGGAAATACTTGTTGTCTGCCCATGTGACTACTACTTTGTTTGAAGGAGTTCTTAAGTCTCTACAGGGATTTTGTCTACAGGTATAACCTGGACATATTTAATGGCTGTGGCTCTCCTGGGGGTCATAGGCCTTTGGCTATAAACTGTTCCTTTCTCAGGTAGGGAGTTAGACTGTGTGACTGCCACATTGTAGCACTAACTACTTTTATACTTTCTCCAAAATCCTCCTCTTGAAATTCCTTTGCAATCCCTATGTGTTGCAGATTTATGACTATTGTTGATTTCCTGGGTCCTCATTCTTGAGGCCTCTTTTAGTTCAGGGTTCTTAGAGGGATATCTCATTGTTAGGTATTATAGGCTTTGAGAAAAGATCTCAGGAAATGAATGGAAGAGGGACTTTCATCTTCTCCTATACAAAGTGTAGGGCAAACTACCTAAAAACTCTACCTTCTGGTGAAGAATGCTGCTGGATACTAGATGTAGGTCGGTCTTATTTTAAACTAGGTAGTCTCTTTTCTTCTGATACTCTGAGAACACTATTTCTCCAAGCACAGATGTTATTAGAAAAGGGGGGGGGGGAATCAATGATCAAATAAGTCTGGGAAATGCTGGATTAAATAAAATTGGAGAGTTTTCCTTCTTATATGACTTTTTAGATCCTTTGATCTGCTAAATGCTTGAGGATGCTGAAAGACAGAGTTAAAATATGCAGCACTTTCCCAAAATTCTTTGCCCACCTAATCTTTGTCTCAAGACTTTCCTCCGGGGACTAATGTTCTGAAAGTTACTTTGGGAAATGCTAGTCTAGACTTATAATACTTGGATTCAGTTCCTCTCAAGGAGAAATCAAAATCATAGTAAAGGAGAAAGGGACGGGGAAGAAATGGAAAAAGAATATAATTTTGCAAGGGCCTGGCAATACTTGAATTTCCTAAGGAAAAATGAGTTTCTCTGGGCACATAGCAAAGTTTCGGACTGTTCATATTTCCTCATTTTCATGTATTCTGATCTCTTAATAAAACTCAAGAGGCAACGTCAATATTTCATAACCCCTCTAGCAGAAGACACTGTGGCTCAAACTCTGGAGTTGCAGGAAGGTCAGGGCTGGAAGATTCATGGGAAGTGGGCCAGGAATCCCTGAAAAGATCTTTCCCTTTTAAGTGATCTCAGCTAACTTGGGTACATTAATTGAAACCCACCCAAATCAACCCATGATTAAGATTCTCACACTGTCACAGGCTGACATAAGGTTGTTATTTTCTTTTAACAAGAAGTTACTACTCATACATATTAGTATATGTGACTTAACAATTACCTATAGGGCTTATAATCAATTGAGAAGAATTTCCTAGTCTTTAATAACTGTTACCCTCTGGGACAGAACTTTATAATAATTGTTATTAAAGTTATTATAACAACTGTTACTAGGTCCCAAGTCTCAAGTATAGAGGAGGACATCATTTTCTAACTCTGGAACAATGTAATCTAAAAGGGCATCTAGCCCAAAAGATCTAGCCATTTCCATCACTGGAGTCAACCAAATAACCTACCAGTGTTCCTTGTTTAACTCTCCTTCACTAATTGAAAGGGTATGGCAATACAGCCTATAGCCTTCATGACTACAACTGAAAACAACAAAATTATCTTCCTGGTCAAGGGAGTTTCACCTTTACCATGAAAGCCACTGCAGAGTCAGTTCCTAAACCATAGGAGCTCTAAGTAAGTTATAGTTACCTTCAATCCATCTTGCTCTTATTGACATGACCCAGAAAAGATCTGAACTAGATATGAGAAGACCTAGATTCTTGTCGCAAGACTGGATAGCAAACTCCCTGAAGGCAGTATCCTGTCCTGCTCATCATGCTTCTCCCCAGTCTCTGCATATTGGCTGGCACAGAATTTGTGCCCCAAATATACTTGAAAAAGCAAATAGCTAGCAGCAGGATTCTAGTATCTCACCCCCTCCCCAGGGCAAGGATTTCTCACCTGGAAAAGGGATGAGCCTGCCTCTCTATCCATGGGTTGCTGAGTGCATTCACTGAGGTGGTGAATGGGAAAGTGGAAGACCATCACCGTGTCCTCACAGCAGTAGTGAGAAAGGTGTGTCCTTCCAAGGACACACCATATCCAGACACTCTTCCAGGAATGCTAACACTTCAGAAGGGCTCCACCCTGAACAATCATTTCTGCCCTATGGCAACCTCTACTATCTATGGACAAACATAAGACCCCCATCCCAGTAGATAAGATATTCTAGCCTGTGATTACAGGTTTCTGGAATAGCAGCAGAAGGCCATTTTCATAGGAAGTATCATTCGTGATGCAGGTAAATTTGACCTGGCATCCAATTTCCAACATGACATATTAGGACATGTATCTCTATGATGAGACAAACCATCTGTTATCCTGTGTGACCACTCCTCTAATTTAGCTCCTAATGCTTTCTGCCTTTATTGTGCTCTCTGCTCCTGTCTCTCTGGTGGAGAGGGGAAGCCTAGAGTGGTCTCCTGGCATGTGTGCTTAAAGGAATGGCTACCATAAGGTCTACAGGCTTCCCGCCGATAAAACCTCACACTGACATTTGATGGGAAAAGGTAAAGAGCAAAGAGCATGAGCCAAAGAGCTGGGACCAAGAACAAGAGTGAAGAGATCAAGTTATCAGATGCCAGGTACACCCAGTAGGTGAATGTGGGAGGAGGTAATGGTGGTGAGAACCGAATAAATAAACCCAAAACCAAATAACAGTTCAGATACAAGATAATGACATACAGTTAATATGTCTCTACTTTCCAGATGTCCAAATCAAGATTCATTTTTGAGAGCAAAAAAAGATAAACTGGTGCCTAAATGTAGATGTCTTCTGCAAACACTTTCTGCAGCGTTGGGGGCTCTGAGGACAAATGCTTCAGCATACAAGGGTCTGGCCAAGCCCAGGGGATAGGGAGCCTCTTGGTCTGGCTGCCTCCCTGTGCAGCACTGAGGAGGGCTTCTAATGTTCTGCTCTATATAAATAGTGCCCCCTGGAGTTGTACTCCTGGCAAAACGACCTGGAAACTGAATCTTAACTTCTCTGGGATACCAGTGACAACAAGATGAAAACAGAATCATCTGAAAAAAGTTTTAGGAGCATAACAAGCCCCTCCTTCCCCCAACAATGAAGCCCCCTCTTCACACAGGTAACTGTACCAAGCCCTGTCCAAAGACATCCACACTTACTCAGAGGCTTCCATTCCTTTGCCCATCGCCCCGTCCCTACTGAAAGGTAGTGTAGAAAGTATACTGGGATCACCAAGCACAGTAAAGGAAGAAAAACTGCCTATACTGACTACATTATCCTGATAGTTTCATTAATTTTCTAATGTGCCTAAGATTCACCTTCAAGAGTTTTAATACCATACATTATAAATAGTTTTTATATTTGGTGAATGAGTGTGAATATAGTGGAAAATTAGATGATTTTTATTTTTGTCAATTGAGCTTTTCAGTGGCTTCCCTGAGTGAAGGGAGAAGATAGGGTTCAAATTAAATAAACCAGACTCTTTGACTTCTCCAGCAAAATGGATTTCTCTTCTTGTTGTTTTACTCCATCCTTAATTTGCATCACTAAAGAATTTACTAGGAAAGTGCTCAGCAAACTGGAGGCTTCTCTGGTGGCCAAGCTCCAGGAAAGAAAGTGCTTTCTTTTAAAACTCCGAAAAAGAGAGACATTCCAAAGTAACCTGCCATGAGATACCAGCAATAGACTCTTAACTCTATAAAAGAAGAAAGGAGGAGAGGAAAGAAAACGCCTAGCACAAATGAGAAAAGACAAAACCTTAAAGAGGAAGGAGAAAGGAAAACATTTAGATTCCTTGAGTGATGGAAATAAATACCAAAGCTATTAGTTTCAGTTCAAAGAACGTATCACTTTATGCTGTTTATTATTTCTTGGGGATTATTTATTTTATCTTAAAATATCCAAAGGGTAAAAGGGGTCCTGGAGGTAAGCAGCAATGAAACTGACCTGGTCCGGAGAGGGCCTGTGATTGGAATGTTGCGACCTCCCAGGAGATCGATGGTGGTGGTGGTGGTGGTGGTGGTGGTAATGGTGATGGTCTTCATCGTAGTTGTCTGCCATCAGCTTCATTCTGTTCTGGGTCTGTGCAGAACAAAAACCAGGAAAGATTCCATCAGGAGCTAGAGGACCAGTCAAAGAGACTCAGGGCATAAGGACAGCACCTCTAGGACTCCCTTTGCTCTTAACCCAGAAGTTATCATTTCTAGTTATATTAAAACTCAACAAAGAGAACCATGCCATTAAATTGGTGAAGGAGGCTTTTGTCACACCCTTGAAGTTACTATGGTACATCTGTAGATATCAAGGTACTTCCCCCTTGTGACTTAAAAGAGAAAAAAATGGACATATGCTAAGGCACTTGTTTCACATTATCAAGCAATGACAGAGAACCAGAGTAAGCTTGCAATTACAAAGTGCCAACACTCACATCCTACACTCCAGAGCAAGCCAGAGAAGGAAGCCTTGATGGAAGAATGGAAAAGGATGGATGGAGACACAGAGCTACAAACAATGGAGTCACAAGACAAGGCAGGGAAATCCACTCGAAAGCTGCCAAATGTGAAAATACAGATGGAGATGGTTTATTGCTATGATGACTTCTTGGGAAGGGCTCTTTTTGGACATTTTAACTGATATTATCCCTTGAGGGAATTGAGCAAAAGGTTCGAAGTCCATGCAAAAAGGGCTGAGCACTTCAATTTACACCTCATGAAGTTCGTCACATGAGGCAAGTAGGTATCATAGTTAAACAACCCCCTGTCCCCCGACACTCATAGAATTATATTGCTCTGTTATGCAGGGCAAGAGATGGACCAGAGGGAAGTGACTTCACAGGGCCACAAAAATCTAGAAAAATTCTCAAGGACTATGGGGAAAAAAAAAAGTGTTAAAATTACCCAGCCCAGAAAGTCAAGAAATCTGGGGACAGGTCTGCCTGACTCTTTGCTGATTGTGTTGCATCAAGAAAGTTATCTCAATGCATAAATCTCAATTTCCTTAAGTCTAAAATGGGAGTAATCAGTCGTCTCTCCTTCAGGTTGCTGTGAGGAGCAAGTGAGATGAAGGGCTTCGAGTGTCAGTCCAGTACCTGATACCGTAATGAGCTGACAGTAAAAGCCAAATACCATTACTACCATTATTGCTGGTATTCTTGATTGCTGTATGAAATTTCTCCTTTCTGCATGCTCCTTTGCTTTGCCTCTCCTCCCAATACCTCCCCTGGACCCTTTCTTTCACCTTGTGTGTTACTAACTCCTATCATTTTCTCTAGGAATCTTTTTCTTTTTTGGTGCTGGTGATGGAACTAACATAGGGCTTCACACATGCTAAGCACATGCTCTACCACTGAGTCACACCCCAGCTCCTGGAGGAAGCTTTTCTTTCCCCCACCCTTTACGCTGGGTGGCACGTGCTTCCTGCTTACCATAGCTCTCTGACCATGGATTTATCTGTCCATCTGCTGTTAGACCTCAAGGCTGTTTCTTTCATCTGCATCTCCCCACAATCTAGCACAGGGCCGCGCAGAAGCAGATATTCAATGCATGCTGCTATAATGAGTGACTGAGGAATGGCTTTGAAGGATGCTGCCATCCTAGAGAAAAACTGCACGTGTTGTGCAGGGGAGGTCATTGAGAGTTGAGGACACGGCATGAGTTTCCATAACCGTCCTGCTGGAGGCCCCAGATGAAAAGAAGCCATCAGCACCTTGAAAGAGCCAGAAGTCAGAGGTTGGCAGGCTCACCAACTGGTTGGAGTTTTATTATGTAATATGAATAATTCTCTGATAAATAAAGAGAACTCTGGCCCTAACATGGAGCATTTTTACAGTATTTCCCCCTACAAGCTAACTTACTCTCAAAACTTTTCTGGGAGGAATTATTAATTATTATCCTCCTTTAGCAGCTAGAAAAGTAAGGCATAGGTTTTAGAGTAATTTTCTCACCATGGGACATGGAGATTTTCTGGGTCTTCCAATCTTCAGACTATAGGTTTTTTCCCATGCCTTGCTGCTAGCAGAACAGGCAAACAGCTCGACAGGTAGAAATAGCTTTCCCATAAATGATTTGGTTCTGTTAAGTTTTGGAAACACCTCACAACCCAATTCTACCTGCCAAAGGATGTCTCATGATTTATTTGTTCCATCTTTTAAAATGTGTACAATACTTGGAAGGTCCCAGAGTGAATATAAAAAAAAATGCATGTATATGATAAAAACAATAAAAACATAGGGAAAGATCCACTTAAAAATTAAATAAAAAAAAATCCCAGGCAACCTTTGGCAGCTGATAGCATTTCCATCTTTTCCTTGTCCACTTAATGTGTCAGAAGACCCAATGGACAAGTTAGGCCTTGTGAGAAAGAGCAGGGCCATGGAGCTCTTGGGGACCAAGTGCCGAAGATTCCCCTCAGTCCTGCCGCCCTTGAACATGGGATTCTGAAGTTCAATGTTCACACCTAAAATTCCAGTTTTGTCACGGGAGAATGTACTTTTGAACTCACAAACTAATAAATCTGGAATTGTTTCTTCTAAATAAAATTGTGAGAGCCTGAAGGGAGCTGTGAGATCTTCGATGGTCAAGGAGGAAGGGACTAGCCCAGGCATGAATGATGGAGCCCAAATGAACAAATAATAACTCTGCTATTGTAAACATTGTAATGTCCTTATCCTTTGGGGAAGCTCCTGTGATTTCATGAGATTATTTTCTTACCAGCAACAAGCCTAAAGTTCCCTACCTTTGAACTGTATCCCATAAAAGAATGCACAAGCTAAACAAGATGCTATATGCAGTCCTAAATGTGTCCGCTGAAACGAGGTGTTGGAGAGCAGGCATGTCATGGGATAAAGACTGTAAATGAATGATGTCATCTTTCCAATTTGGTGCTGAAATATAAATAAACCATGTTGTTCATGTGAATACCAGATCTGGGGGAAATGTACACAGAGCAATTGTGAACGGAAGAGGCTCCTTTTGATTAGTCTGGGCTGGGAGAGAAGAGTGTGAAACAGAGATGAAAAATGAGGGTTTGGTCTGATACTCTGGACCATTTTTTATTTATCTTGCTTGTAACACATCCCCTAAACTGTGACTGATTTCTTACAGGCTGGTTGCTAGTGTTCTCTCTCTCAAAACAATCTGACCAATCTGGCTCCATTAATTCAAATTGCAATTGGACCTCCTTTTGATTTTTTAAAATTTTTTTCCAATCTGTACTACCTATCCTCACCTCCACCCAATGATATTGGTTTCCTAGCATATAGAGAATGATCCGGAAGGATAGGAAGTCACAAATAACACTCCCTAGTAGTCAATGGAAGAAAAACTGCAGAAAGTTTTAACAGGGATTAGAATAAAGATATTATCTGTAGTTTGACCAGGTGACCCCAGATATAATGGGTCACATCTCTGAAGCCATCAGACTTACATGAGACCGGACAAAGCCTTAAGCAGCAGATCTTCAGGACTGTCCTCACTGAAAAACCTAAGAAAACTAGTTGCAAGCTATAGAGAGACAGTTTCCCACAGCATAGCCCCTGGACGGTAGGGACTCATTTAGCGATTCAAGAAAGTCCACTTTTGCCGGGTGTGGTGGTTACATGCCTGTAATCTCAGTAGCTCAAGAGGCTGAGACAGGAGGATCATGAGATCAAAGCCAGCCTCAGCAATGGTGAGGCACTAAGCAACTCAGTAAGACCCTGTATCTAAATAAAATATAAAATAGCGCTGCAGATGTGGCTCAGTGGTCAAGTGCCCCTGAGTTCAACCCCTGCCACAAAAAAAAAAAAAAAAAAAAAAAAGAAAAGAAAAGAAAAAAAGAAAGCCTACTTTTTCCTTCTTCAGTATCCACCAACCTGCTAACTTGATGCTTTTGCCTTTGGTTATCTCATTTAATCCGGTTTCATTCTCTGTTTCCTCATTCTTCCAGGCAAAGGTTTGTGTCTCCAGGGCCTTGACCTCCTAAGGATGCTCCTGCTGCACTGTTGCCTCCCTTCAGATGTGAATGTTCTGCAGCCAGAGTAACATCACATGCTGTGCATTTGGCTCTGCAGAGGCTCCCTGCTGTCCTCAGGAAAAGAGCCCTGTTCTCCAAGTGCTTACAAGTCTCTGGCAGGTGACTGCTATTTCCCTCTCCAGCCCCACCTCTCTCTCTCCTTCCTCCTTCCAGCCTTGGGACAAGTCTGTTCTCTGTTTCCGCTGTGCCCTTCATCCTCTAGCCCTTAAACCTAAGTTAGACTCATTAGTTCTTCAGGTCTTAGTGTCAACATCATGACCTCTACACACACCTTCCCTGAGCCCACCTCGTGAGGGCTTATGTGATCTTCCATTGCTTCCTAGGGAATCTTTTACCACACACCTCCCCGCCCCACCACCACCCTTTGCCTTACAGTGCTTACCTCTGAGAATGGTAAACAATTGCATGTTTGCTTGGATTTCTCTACCACCAGGCTGAAAGTCTCTCAAGGGGAGCACTATGCCTGGATTTCCCTTGTACTTGCCACCTGGGGCAGAGCCTGGTGTAAAAGCAGTAAGGAAATGTGTGTCTCAGCAGTGCATGCAGGTAGGAAAGAAGGAATGCAGAGGGCACCGGTGACTTTGGAACAGAGAGGGAAAACCATACAATGAGAGTCTGTGATGAACCAGTTCAGTATTTAACTCTTGATGTGATAGTTTAACTTTTCCTGTTGTGTATGGTTTTGGTGGCTGTTCTTGGGAGTGGGGAGAGCAGGGTGAAATGTGTAGGGCAAGCCAAACTGGGCTTCTTCAAGAAATATTCTATTCCTCAGTAAACTGGATCCGGCGACTTAGTCTTATACTTGCCCACTTGCTCATCTCATTAGGAATAAGGGGAACTGGTGTGCTCTTGGTGCATTTTCTTACTATCCCCAGCCTTTGGAAGAGCAGGGGACTTTGGAAGGCTTTTGTTAAGTGCCAAAAGTCAACCATGGAAAACAGAAACTTTATCCATTAACTAAAATTCCTGATAGACAACATCTGTGAAAAGATGCCAGAGACTGCATCTCTTTTGACATTTCTGAAGAGTTTATCCAAGGAGCTCTTGAAACTAAATGAAAATCCTTGACT